CCTCTCTTGTCCTACCTCGAGGCGAATCGAAAGGACTCAAAAGCCGCCGCCGCCATCACGGCCATGGTCCACGCCGAGGACGCGCGCCGCAAGGCCTACCCGCTCCACGTCCTCTTGGGCTTCAAGCGCTACGACGACTTTAAGACTCAACTTCCTCTGCACCGCGACCGTCTCGAACAGTGCGACACGGTACATCCCTCACTCTTGTCCGTACTCGGTCGATGATGCAAACGCTAGAACGGCAAAACTGTGCTCATGCTATCGGCCGAGATGGGTCTCGAGGACCTTGTTGACGTTATCATTGCCCACGGCGCCGACGTCGACGCCGTCGTTGGTGTCCCGTACTACACCGCCTTGGTTGACTTTTCTTGCACAGTTGTTTGTGGCTCACACATATATAGGACCCGAAACAGTATGCGTCGACGGCCCTCACGCTGGCCGTCACGAACGGCCATGTCGGCGTCGTCGAGCTCCTGCTGTCGCACCTCGCCGAGATCGACCCAGCGTACCTCGCATCGATGACGGTACCCTCTTGATCTCTTGATATCGTACCGAATATACATCTCTCAACAACTCACGCTAGTCGTTGGAGGCCTCGCTCACACCTCGCCAAGCGGCGTGTGTGACGTTGCTGCAAAAAGAAGTCGCGTTCCGGTCGACGTCGGCCGAGTACGTGGCCAAGTGGCGGCTCAAGCTCGAGGCGCTGCCCGACGACGCGCCGTTTGACGAAACTCTCTTTCGGCGCGCGATCGCCGCCGACCCGTCCCTCGGTCGTCTCTTCCTCAACGACTGCCTGTCGCCGGACCGCCACACGCTCGGCTTTACCAAGGTGCGCCTTTCTTGTTCGATGCATGTGTGGACGCGTTGTCATCATATCGAACGCTAGCTCGAGGCCGTGTACGGCCGTCGCGTGACGTCGAGCGCGCTCTACTCGATCGTGCAGTACCAAGACGCGACCAAGCGCGACGGCGCCAAGGCCCTTCTGGACCACATTGTCATGCAGCGCATCCTCCAGCTCAAGTGGGAGGTAGTCCACACCACATTTGTCTTGAACCATGACGAAATATCCCTCGACTAGTTTTTCGCGCAGCGCATGTTTGTCGAACAGCTGCTCTGGTACGGGATCCTCCTCGCCTCCATGACGGTGGCCGTGACGCTGCAGCCGTCGACGATCGATGCCAATGACAACGACGCGCCGCTCCGTGTCTGGTGCGTCAGCGTCGTCTTTTGCGTCGTTGGGCTCGTCGCGGTGCAGTGGACGCGGCCCACGCCGCTCTTGTATCTCGCCACGTGTCTGCACCGCTTTGCGGCGCCGTCGCCACTGCACTGTCAGCACGACCCGCGGCACCTCGGTCCGGCCAAGACGAATGTCAAGCGTCTCCTGTGTCTTGGGACGGTTGCCGTCACCGTCTACATGTACATGACGTGCATCGACGCGCCGCTCTGGCACCGTATTCCGTGGTCAACGACGGTCGTTGGGACAGCTTCGCTGTCTGATATGTGTGTCTACGGGTCGCTGCTTGCCTCGACGCTCTACTTTGTGCGGCTCGAGTACCAAGAGTTTGTTGGTCATGACCGCCTCCACACGGCCGAGACGCACGCGTACTGGTCGTCCCGCCTCAATCTGTGGCAACTGATGACGTACATGGGTATTCTGTTGGTGTACCTTCCGCTGGCGTCGTATTTGGAGCCCGTGACAAGTCTTTGTCTCGGCAGTCTCTTGACGCTGTCGCTGTGGCTGCTCTCGCTGCAGTTCTTCGCCGTGTTCCAAACCGGCGGGTACCTCCTCCCGATGCTCTCGGCGCTGCTGCGGGACGTGAGCAACTTTCTCGCGTTCTTTGGCGTCGTGCAGGCCGCGTTCACGTGTGTGTTCTACCAGCTCTTTCGGTCGCAGTCCAATGCCAACAGCTACGCGTCGCTCTGGGCGTCGTTCCGGACCTCGTACTTTGTCATGCTCGGCCAGTTTGATGTCGATGGGACGTGGGCGACGCCGAGCGAGTTGCCGCCACTACTGTACCACTACTCGTTTGTGCTGCTCATGCTCCACGCCGGTGTCGTGATGCTCCTGCTGCTCAACGTGCTCTTGGCGACAATGAACGAGACGGTCGCCGACGGTCTCCGCGCGTCGCAGCGAGACGCCATGTGGAGCTACGCGGCGTGCATTCTGCGGCTGGAGCTCACGCTGCCCCTCTCGCGCCAGCCCGTCTACTACGCGTCGCGTCGCCCCGACGATACCAATGTCAACCCCGCGTTTGACGAGGTGCTTGTCCTCGCCGACTGCAACCTCTGCGACGACGACATGGCGGTCGTCCGCAGCATCGAAGAAGTCGGCAAAGACTGGTTCCGGACCCTTCGCGACCTCCAGCGCCGCGCTGTAATCGAGATAGATGCGCTCACGGCGGCCGTGCATGACGCCAACCACTTTTGCGCCTCGGCCATGTACCCGATGGCATGCGAAGTGGGCATCCCGACGGCCCGTGCGGCGATCGACGCGGCGTTCGCCTCGGTGGTCGCCAAGCGAGCGCCCGAGCCATCCGACCGCTGTAGTCGCCTCCGCGCTGTCCAGCGCACGGTGCAGCAGCACTGGACGAGCTTGGCGTCGGCGCTCTCACTCGAGGCGACGACCAACACTGCCGACCAGCACGACGTGCTCTTTGCCATGGTACACGGCGTCTCGATGGCGGCCATGCTGGCGCGCGCCTGGCAGAGCATCGAAGCTGTCTTTGATGCGGCGGCGGCGCGCTGGGAAGAGCGGCCGGAACCTACGCCGTCACAGCTCCGCGACGCAATCGTGGCCAGCACCAAGGCGCAGAACGCGCAGCTGCAGGCGCACGTCGATGCGTGTATGGCGGCGATGCAAGCGATGGAGACGCGGTATACAGCCGCGCTGGAGGAGTCCAAGGCTGCCAACCGCGCACTGGACGCCAAGCTCAGTGAGGTGCTCACGTTGCTGCACGTGAAGGCGTGATTTTTGGAAATTGATTTGCGACGTTTTTGATTGGCTCATTTGCATAATAATTTCAGCCACTCGTATGCATGTTGTAGAGCGAGATGAGGCCGCCCGATGGCCGCCATGTCATCGAAATCAAAAGAGCTCAAAGTTGGACAGATGATAGCCGACACTTTGGAGAGCACGAATTGCCATGTCACGTCGACGTTGGCGGCGTATAGCCGTTGTTGGACAGCAAATTGTTAATTGTGGTAATGACCATATTTAGGCGTATGTAGCCACATGTAGCTAAAGTTAGCAGCTGCTCACAGAGTTGCTCGACACGACAGTTCGATCCACAACGGTACTCGCCATTCAGTATACTCCGCGTTGCGCACACGATATGAGGATAAAGCCATCGACTCCTCATGCAGCGACAACCCAAACACGGTGTATACCCAGGTCCCTGGTGTATGCCGGTGTGTCGTTGTATGCAGTTACTGTAACGGTGCGGGAGAGGTCACTGCCAAGCTCACGAACGATGTATTAAACACGAAGTTGCGTGTGGTGCTGCTGCAAGTCACGGCTGTCTGTTGAGTGATTTTGGAAGAACGTGGCATTATCGGTGGCATGATCCAATTCTCACGCTTTTGATTCGCCCGTTTTTCAGTATTTTAAGCCAATAGTAAGCACCCAATGCTGTGGCTCGAGAAATCTAGGCAACGCGATGGCCGCCATAGCACTCAAAACCAAAAGAGCTCAAAGTTGGGCAGACGATAGATGGCACTTTGGAGAGCACGAATTGCTATGTCAAGTCGACGTTGGCGGCGTCTAGCAAGAGTTAATCAGCAAATTATTAATAGTGGTAATGACCATATTTAGGTATCTTTAGCCACATGTAGCCATATTTATATTTAGGCACCGCTTTACAGTCCGCGGCACACGAGCGGACGCGCCTTCAAGGGTATTTATTGACCCTTGTCGCCTTCTACCTCGCTACTCCACCTGCACATACAGCAGCGCAATGCGTACTTAAGAATAATCTAATGTTCGATCTCTTCGTGTAGTGCTAATCCGACGACTGCCGTGGTCACTATTTGTCGCGGGGTACTAGGTCGGCGGACTCTGATAGATGTACCACTCGAGAAGGCGTCGATGCAACGCGACCGAAGCACTTTTGCGTGCTACATACGCACCACCAGCGCTGGGTACACTGCTGCCTTTATAAATAGTCGCCACATCAATCTGTAACCGGTGCGCTCCGGTCGAGTCGCGCAGCCAGCATGTCGGACGAGGTGGATCAAGCGCCACCTTGAGGCGACTAGTCTCTCACCTTATCGATACCTTCGTAGGAGCAGTCGTACTCGGATGAAGAGTTCCCGACCGTCGACGCCAACGCCGCACCACAACACCGTGTCGTCCTGCCTCAAAAGTCAGAGTCCGATCTGTATGACTGGGACAACGATGCGGCGTCCACCAAGCACGACGGCGACGACCAACGCAACGACAGATCGACACCACTCGTCGATGGCGACGAGTACACCGAGAACGATTTTGGCGCTGAAGAGTATACGTACGACGACGCGCTCACCGAGACAGCGGCGGCAGCAATCAACACCACGGCCGCAGATATCATCAGCCAGCCCGCCACTGACGACAGTGCAGACTTGGACGCCTACGCGAACGACGATGACTACACCGAAGAAGACTACACCGACGACGAGTCTCCGTCCGAATCGGCGGCTACGACAAACCCCTCGGCACCCGAGATTGCAGTTCCTGACGTCGACGCTGAGACAGTTACCCCCGCTTCGTCCAGCCCAACGTACGAAGACGATGACAATGACGTCGATGT